GTGAAGTGCCTATTCATATCCTGTGCCCATTTTTCTATCGGATTATTTACCTTTATCTTGTTGTGGTGCTCAAATATTTCATAAATTCTGGATATAAGTCCCTTATCTGATATGTCATTACCAAATACTTTTTCCCAGTCGGTGGCTTCCCTTTTTACCCTGGTGGAGAAGTTTTTGGATGTGCATAGGGAATTGACAGAAGAAAAGACATTTAAGTAATTAAGGTGAGACATGCAAAGAGCTCTGGTGGCTTTGGTAAGGAGCTGTTCTTCAAACCCAAAGGCAAGTGATTTGAATCCACTAGCCTCTCTGTGTGATAAAGATGGGCAATCTCCTTCCATGCAACTTACTGCCTCTGAAAACCCGCTGGAGTTGGTTCTGACTTAATGGCATATTAAAAAAAAAAAGAAGTAAGTTTCACCAGAAATCTATTAAATTATATGGTGTCCATAGATGAATATATTTTAATATGGATTCTGACAATTTCTATACTTTCAATCCAAATAAAAGCAAATTTTTACAAAAATTAAAAAGCTTGTTTTAAAATCAGGTGGTTAACACAGAGTCAAGAAGTGTCAAGTTACTGACTCAACATTGCCTTCATTCCTTAAAATTAAAAACCCATGAAAGATGGAAGGATTGTTTACTAGTCTCTTCTCCTGTGTCCTTCTGTGCCCTAGTCATGGCTGTGTGGCAGCTGATAATGCTGGGGAGCTGTTATGGTGGTGCGGTCCAGTGCAGAGTGCCGGGCTGTGTCCTGTTGTCTCTTGGGTGCTCCTGCGTAAAGCTGCCTTGTCGGACAGAAACAAATGGCCGTCCAGTTAATTAGCACGCCTGACCACTGCACTTCCAGTCACTTGGGCCTTGCATATAAGCAACAGACCACATATTTTTTGAACTTAATAGGAAAAAATGTTAAAGCAGCAAATGGTCTGTAACTTTATAAGTACTTATAATATGGTGTATCTTTTTCATTTATGAATATTCTGTACTAAAGCCACTGTTCTAGTAATTAAAATTTTCTCTTGGTGTAAAAAAAAAAAATAGCTAAGGCCAGAATGAATGAAACAGACATTTCTCCCAACACGTACAAGAAAAGATGCCACTGTTTTTGTTTGACTGACAGTGAACCTATGTGACAAAGAACTGCCCCCTATGGTTTCTGGGGTGTAATCATGCAGGAGAAGAATATCAAGTCTTTCCCCCAAGGAGGAGCTAAATGGATCTGAATCACTAACCTTTCAGTTAGTAGCCAAGTGCTTAACTACTGCACAATCAGTGCTCCTTCATTAACTATTAGATGCAAGTCAAAACCACAGTGAGATTATCACTTCACTCCCACTAGAATGGTTATGATTCTAAAACCAGAAAATAGTAAGTGGTGTGAAGGATATGAAGAAACGAACTATTCATTACCGGTGGAAATGCAAAATGGTATAGTCCAGCAGAAAACATCCTGGCACTTTCTGAAAAAGTTAAACATAGAACTACCACATGACCCACAATCCCAAACTTACGTATATTCCCAGAAGAAAACAGGAACACCAACAGAAACCTGTATATAAATGTTTAGTGCAGACTTATTCACAACAGTCAAAAGATAGAAACAGTTAAAATGTTCAACAGATGAACAGATAAAAACAATGTAATATACACAATGGATAAAGAGAAGCCTGTCAATATTATTGAAAATATTGTGTTGAATAAAATGAATCAGTTGGCCATGTATTTTCTAGAAAGGATGATCCTACTTATAATAAAACAGGCAAATGTGTAGGGACAGATTTCTTGTTGCTGTTAGGTACTGTCAAGTAAGATCTATACTTGTAGCGCCCCTATCCTGTCCTATCCTCACAATTTCTGACATCTGAGCCCATGCCTGCCGTTGTCATGTCAATTCATCTGACTGAGGGTATTCCTCTTTGTGCTGACACTCCACCTTTCCTAGCATGATGTCCCTCTCCAATGAACAGCCTTTCCTAACAACATGCTCAAGTATATGAGACAAAAGTTCATCATCTTTGCCTCCCAGGAGAACTCTGGCTGCACTTTCTCCAAAACATACTTGGTTTTTTGGCAGTCCATGGGATATTCATTCAGTACTCTTCTTCAACATCAGAGCACAAAGGCACCAATTCTTCTTCTGTCATCCTTATTCACTGCCTAATTGTCAGATGCATAAATAAACAAGTAACTGAAAAGACCATGGCCTGAATTAGGCATACCTTAGTCCTCAAACTGACATATTTCTCAGTAATTTTGAGAGATTCCCGGACTACAGACTTTCCCAGTGCAGTACTGACCCCCTTTCCCAGCCTCCTGATCTTCTGACTGCTAGTACCAAGTATACGGACTGTGGACGCAAGTAAGACGAAGCTGTTGATCATTTCAATCTTTTCTCCATCTATCATGACATCACTTATAGGTCCAGTGGTGAGAATTTGTTTTCTTGACATTGAGATGCAATCCATACCGAAGACTGTATTCTTTGATTTTCTGCAGCAAGTCCTTCAAGTCCTCTCCACTTTCAGCAAGCAAGGTTATGTCATCTACACAATGCAGGTTTGGTTACTGATGAGTATTCCTCTCATCCTGATGCCACATTCTTCTTCAGAGTCCAGCTTCTCAATAACCTGCTCAGCATAAAGTTTACTAGGGAAGAGAAAGGAAGTTGTTGCCTAGGGAGCAATGAGTATCTGCTAACAATAATGAAGTAACTTGGAAAAGAATAGTGGTGACAATTGCAGTATATGAAAAATATAATCAATGTCATATAATCATACATGTGAAATTACTGAACTGGCAAAAGAGAAAATTCTGTAAATGGCATATATATGTCTAATCTATGACACAGCTGTAATAATTTAAAGGAACTAAGAAATGAAGTACTCAGAAGTTTGATTTCACATGGGAGACAACTGGAATAGCTGGAAAGAGATGTGACAAAGAATTTTTAGTTTTTATAATCCCAAATATAAGAGATCTCACATGTTTACATATTTAAATAGATAGGAAATGAGCAGGGAGGGGCAATCATAAAGGCTATGAGACACAGTTGTTGCTGTTAATTGTGTACTGTCAAATCAGAACTGACCCATAGTTGACCCTTTCTCCTGTGAAGCAACTGGTGGATTCAAGCCATGTACCTTCCAGATTACAGCACATGTTCTTACCACCAACCCACCAGAGATCCCTATGAGATATGGTCAAAGAACTCAAACCCATCAGTAGATTTTCCAAGGATGTAAATCACATAGGAGGAGACTACTAATTTTTCTCCTTCAAAACTATGAGTGGGTTTGAATAATCAGAAAAGATCCAACTTTGGGATAGTAGCACCAACTCCCTATCGCCTATGACACTGAGAGTTCCCTGACTTAATGCAAAATGTCATGGCAAATTTGTAAACAGCTTTCCTACAGTCTCGTCAAGACTTAGTCAAAATGACCATTTTCCTGGTTCTACCTTAGGTATTTAATGGAATCTTCACTGTACCACGACTGATTATGCCATTCTCCTCATGTCTCCCCTGACTGCTCATCCCAATAATCCTGCTTATTTTCTAGTCACAAGGTCTCTCCTTCAGAAAGTCTTCCTTTTAAATCCAAATCTTATCCATCCTTCAAAATGCACTTCTTTTTCAGAACAAAATAAATAAATATATACATTTCTTGATTATAGCAGCCCCAAAAGATCTTGGTCTCTACAAATTTTAGGCAACCTTCTATTATATCTCATCTCACCTATTCTGGATGACAATGTGGAAAACACAGTTTGGGGAGCTACTGATTTCTAAACCAGGGCACAGAATAAGTGGAGTTAAACAGATTCCCAGGTTCTACCTTAAAGATTCTAATTCCACACCCACTCCCATCAAGCTGATTCTGACTAAAACTGACAACACTCTACAGGGTTTCTGAGACATTAATCTTTATAGGTGGAGATTGCCCATTTCTTAAGCAGCACTGGGTGGATTCAAACTGCCTGACCTTTCTTTCAGTTAGTACCACAATATTTAACAGCTTATGCCACTAGAAGACCTTAGAGAGGGATCTGCAAATCTGTATTTCTAATGAATTCTTAATGATAGTGATGCTGCTACTGACCTAGATAATAATCTTTACAGCCCTGCAAATAATCCTACATCTTTACATTCTTGCTCTTAAAGACTGACAGTATAGGAGGATGTTAAATTGAACATTTAAATTTAACAGGGGAACTATGAAAAAGTAATTCTCCTGATGTGAAAATTGAACAAGTGTAATGCTTAATATGGAACTCTTCCAATCCAGTGGCCAGACAGCTGTCCTCCAAATTTCCAGGCATAGACAGGTGAGTGCATCCAAGGCTGCATCTGTGAACTGAAATAAATCAAATGGTATCCCATTGATTCCTGGGACTCCCCCCCACCCAATGTCTTAAAAACTTCCTACTGCCTTTAATACCATCTACTTCCTCCTTCATTACCGCTGGCTCCTGTACTTCCTCAAAGTCTTCAGTGTCAATCAGTTCTTTCTGGTACAGTAATTCTGTTTACTATCTTCTCTTGATGTTTTCTGGGTCATTCAATATATTGCCCATAGCATGTTTCAATATGGCGACTTGAGGCTTAAATTTACTTTTCAGTTCATTCAGCTTGAGAAAAGTAGAGCGAGTTCTTCCCTTTTTATTCTCCAATTTCAGCTCTATGCACATTCCATTATAATACTTCGTCCTCCCAAACTGTCCCCTGAAATTTTCTATTCAGTTCTTTCACTTCAACATGTTTTCCTTTTGTTTTGGCTTCTTGACATTCCAGTGTAATCTTTAAAGTCTCTTCTAATATCCATTTCTGTTTTTTCTTTATCCTCCATTTTTCTAAATGACCTTTTATTTTCTTAATGGGTGATATCATCCTATAACTCATCTGGTCTTTGATCACCAATGTTCGATGCCTCAAATCTATTCTTAAGATGACCTTCAAATTAAGATGGAATTGATTCAAGATCAGATCTTGGTTCCTGTGGACTTATTTTCATTTTCTTCGGCCTCAGTTTTAACTCACATATTAGTTATTGATGATCTGAACCACAGTCCGCCCCGGCCTAGTTTTGTCTTACTGATTTTGAGCTTCTCCATCAACGTCCTCATTTGTTCCATTCCCAAGAAAGGTGACCCAACAAAATGTGGAAATTATTGAACATCTTTATTATTATCACATGCAAGCAAATTACTGCTGAAGATAATTCAAAAATGGCTAGAACAATACATAGATAGAACTGCCAAAAGTTCAAGCAGGATTTAGAAGAGGTCGTGGCACCAGGAATATTAATGTTGATGTCAGATGAATCCTGGCTAAAAGTAAGAATATCAAAATAATGTGTACTTATGCTTTATTGACTATGCAAAGGCATAAGACTGTGTGGATGGTGAGAAGTTGTGGCTGACACTGAGAAGAATGAGAACCACAGAGCTATTCCTGGAAGAGGGACATAATAACGCGGGAAAAGGTGGAGTGTCAGTGAAAGAGAGGAAGACCAGGTCGACTCACAGTGCCTGCTGCAAGGGGCTCTTGTATGCCAGGATGTGTGAAGACAGGGCAGGATAGAGCAGGGTTCAGATCTTTTGTTAACAGGGTCGGTATAAGTCAAACTCAACTTAATGGCACCTAACAACAACAACAATGCTTCACTATATTCACAGTATTTCACTCACTCATTGCTGTCATGTCAGAACTGTGTCATAGCTAAACATAAACAGTCTTGAGAAAGCTGTAAAGTGCGCAGGAGAAAACTGCCCATCTTTCTCTTATGGAACCACTGGTGGATTTAAAAAGCCAGAGGTGACCCATAGGTTATCAGTGCAACTCAGTACAGAACTAGAGTTCCTTATTTTATATTTCTTTTAAGAAAATCTTTTTATTATTATTTTTAATGAAAATTTACAGAGACTTTGAATTTCCACTCATTCATCGTTGCACTTTTCTCCCTGCCCATATCTCCCCACCTCCCAAGTACACTCTTCTCTTTGAAAAGTAAAATTCTTTCCTAGTTTTACAATCCCTCCCCCCAGGTCCACTCCTTCGTTCTGGAATCCTGTCATGACAATAATACCCAATCACATATCCGTTTTAAACAGTTTTCTCCCTCATCTGTTTCAATGCAGAATACACTATTTATCCCATCTTTCTCAGTCTCCCCACAACCCCGATGTCAGTCCTGTTTTACAACAGTGGCACTATGCAATATTTGTCCTTTTGTGACTGAGATATTTCACTCAGCATAATGGCAGGATATGAAGAGACACTTCACCAAAGAAGACATTCAGATGACCAACAAGCACAAGAAGAAATGTTCAAAATCCAGGGAGCTCTGGTGGCCTAGTGGCAAGAAACTGCACTGTAATCCCAGAAGAGTACAGTTCAAATCCACCAGATGCTCTGTTGGAGAAGGAGGGGGCAAACTCCTCCTGTACTAGTCAGATCTGATGTGACGGTAGACACACGCCCCCCCCCCAAATATATAAAAATAATAAAATTAAATTTAAAAATGTTCAAAATTCCTAGCTCTAAGAGACATACAAATCAAAACAACTATGAAATATCATCTCACCCCAATCAGATTAGCAAAATTTAACACAACAGCAAGCAACAAATGCTAGCAAAGCTGTGGATAAACTGAAATCCTTATTCACCGTTGGTGGAAGTGTAAAATGGTGCAACCACAGTGCAAGGCGGTGTGGCACTTTCTCAAAAAGTTGCAAATAGAGAGATCATTTTTGGCCCAGCAAGTCCACTACTGGGAATATACCACAAAGAGACCATAACTGCTACCCAAACAGATATATGCACACCCATGTTTACCACAACTTTGTTCACAATAGCAAGGAGTTGGAAACAACCTAAGTGCCCATCAACAAATGGATAGAGAAGCTGTGGTATGGTCACACAATGGAATACTAAGCTACACTGAAAAAATAAGAACTCATGCAATATTATTTTATATTTCTAAAAATCAGGAAAAAGGCATAAATATGGCAATACACAAAGTACAAAATAAATTCAAAGTTTAAATACGTACCTTTACTAATTAATCCTTGAGTTATCAGCATACTTGTTGCAGCCAAAGGCACAGCTATTTAAAAAAAGAGAACGTAAAAAAAAAAGAGAACGTATTAGCATTAGGAAAAGGAAAAGATAAATGAGCATCGGTTTATCTATCGAAGTACGTTGCAATGAAGATCTGTGCAAGAATTTTCCATTTATAGAGTTGTAGTTTATAGTCATAGGAAAAATACAAATAAACTAATTTTTTAAATTATAATATGAAAACCACCACCCAAGCAGATATATGCACACCCATGTTTATCGTGGCTTTTTTCACAATAGCAAAGAGTTGGAAACAACCCTGAGTGCCCATCAATAAACGATTGGATAGAGAAGCTATGGAATAGTCACACAATGCAATACCACACTGCATTGAAAAACAAGGAACTCATGAAGTATTATACAAAATGGGTGACCCTGGAGGACATTATGCTGAGTGAAATAACTGTCATTAAGCCACTGTTGTAAAATAGGACTGACATCAGGGTGGAGGGAAGACTGAAAAACAGAAGTTAAATAATGTATATTGCATTGAAACAGACGAGTGAGAGAACAGTTTAAAAGGAATATATGATTAGGTATTATTGTCATGATAGGAGTCCAGAAGGAAGGCTGTACAGTGGAGTGGACTTGGGGGAAGGGACTGTATAACAATGAAAGAATTTTTCTTTTACTTTTCAGAAAAGAGTGAATTGGGGGAGAGGGGTAGGCAGGGAGAAAAGTGTTAACAATGAATAAATTGTAATCCAGTCTCTGTAAACTTTTATTAAAATTTTTTTAAAAATTATAATATGAAACAATTTCATTCAAAAACCACATTAAATGTAGAAATCTCCAGCAGAGCACTCACTAACATCAAGGCAAGAGTTTAAATAGTAGTGAATACTTTTTAAAAAATACAATCCATAACCTTACAAGAATACTCACTCTAAAACACATATGACATGGTAAAGGGAGTAGGGAAGCTAAGTTAAGAGAATCAAATAGCCAGAAAATAAATAATGAGAATGTTGATACATTGTGAAAAAATAAAACAAATATCACTAAACAATAAACATGCAAAGTTTTTTACAAGAGAATCAAATTTGCTATGTCAATTTTCACTAATAATGCAATACTAAAAGACAACATAGTCAAGAAAGACCAAAAGTTATTCTATAGTAAGAAGAAAAAATGGACCACAGAGGCAAGAAACAATTATGAGCCTTCTGGGAGCTCTTTCTCTGAGAGCAGTCATGTCTCAGGGCCTAAAGCAGCTGCTCCAGTCACAAGGGTTGGAGGACAGCTGGGTTGACAGCTAGAAGCCTGCAACATTCGCCTATAGCCACAATGAGTTCACCCCTTATTCTCAAACCATTCCTGAACGGATTAAAAGGAAAGCCAGGAATGGTGAAGTTTAAGCAGGGAATAGAGTACAAAGGCTACCTCATATCATGCAGCTTGCAAATACAAAAGAATATATAGATGGAACACTGTCTGGACACCTGGGTTAAATTTTAATCCAGCATAATAATGTCCTTTATATCAGGAGTGTTGAAGTAGAGGAATATGGAGAAATAGAGAATAGCATTTTTTTTATTTTATTATTTTGTGTGTGTGTACCATCAAATTGGATCTGACTGGTACAGGAGGAGATTGACCCTCCTTCTCCATCAGAGCATCTGGTAGATAGAATAGCATTATTTGTGGTGAATTTTATATATATGTGCGTACATGTATGTGAGCTGCATACAAGATCTACAGGACACATCATCCTCCTCTGAGAAACTATTTCACTATGACTACAGTGTACTGCAAATGGAAGAGAAGAGGCCCTAAGTCACAAGAACTCAATCCTGGAGGAGAAGGTCAAGGCAAAGGACTTCTCAGAACTGTCTGAAATAGGAAGCCTTCCCTGATACTAGTACCTGGTATGCGGACTTACAGACTCCTAAACTCAAGAGATACTAACCATAGTATATAAAGTGGCAGCAGCTTGAGGCGTTTAGAATCACAGAAGCCCTGAAAGCTTGAGAGATAAGCCATCATATCAAGGGCTGGATAGAGGGAGTTAAGTGTTGAATGGAGTAGGTGGGAGTAGAAGGGAACGCTGGGGAAGCAGGGAAAGGGATAGGTGAAGACACAAATGTCAAGGGCAGAGACAATACTGAACCTATTGGTTATTTTGACAACTGGAGAAATATCTTTCATCTGCTCCTTTCCATAAACTGCTTCTGTCAGAAACTGTTTTAAATATGAGCATTCAAATTAAGACAGACTAGGAAGGATGGGCCGTTCACATCCAAAATAGCAAGGCTTCAAAAATCCCATGTACAATAGAGCACACTTAAGCCTAGCAGATATGGCAACTGAGGCCTCAAGAATGGAAACACAAAGGAAGAGGAACAGTTGTAAGCAGACACTACTGACTGGACCATAGAATGTGAGAACCAAGAATACAGGAAAACTGAATATTGTTAAGAAAGAAATGGAATGCATAAATAGTGACATAAATATTGGCAAAATGAAATGTACTGGCCTGGGACATTTTGAGTCAGAGGATCATATGATCTACGATGGTGGAGATGAAAAGGTGAGTAAAAATTGGGTTGCTTTCAGAGTTAAAAAAGTCTTCTCTAGATCCACCTTGAAATACCATGTTGTGAGTGACAGGATAATATTTATATACATATAATAAAGCCCAGTGAATACGATCATCATTCAAATATATGCATCAACCACCAAAGCCAAAGAGGAGGAAACAGAAGATTTCTACCAACTTCCGCAGTCAGATACTGATCGAACACACTATCAAGAAGCATTAATAATAACGGTGACTAGCATGCAAACATTTGGGAACAGAGAAGAAGGATCAGTAGTTGGAAAACACGGACTGTGTCAGAAATGAAGATGGACACAGAATGACAGAATTTCGCTCAAACAACGATTTAGCCATTACAAAATATGTTTTATAAGAAAATAAACACAAGCTATACAGATAAACTCCAACTGACAGTATGCACAGAAATCAGACTTCCTACATCTGTGGAAAGAACTGCTGGAAAAGCTCTGTATCAGCTGTGAAAACTAGGCCAGGTGCTGATTGTGGAACAGACTACCAACTACTCATATGCAAGTTCAAGTTGAAGCTAAGAAAAATTAAATCAAATCCATGGGAACCAAAATTTGACCTTGAGTCCATCCCACCTGAATTTCAAAATCATCTCTGGAACAGGTTTGAGGCTTTGCATGAACACTAATGAGCAAAGACCAGATGAGTTATGGGAAGATATCAAGAATATTATCTAGGAGAAGTGGAAATGGTCATTACAAAGACTGAGGAGGAAGACCAAGATGAATGTCGGAAGAGACTCTAAATATCTCACCAGAGTACCGAGAAGCCAAAGCAAAGGGAAAAAATTAAAAAGATAAGGAGCTGAACAGAAAATTTCAAAGGGCAGCCCTGGAAGACAAAGTAAAGTATTATAATGAAATGTGCTAAGAGCTGGATTCAGAAAATTAAAGGGGCCAAACATGCTCAACATTTCTTAAGCTGAAGGAACTGAAAAACAAATTCGAGACTCGAGTTGTAATACTTAAGGATGCTCTTGGCAGAGTATTAAATGATCCAGGAAAGCATATATAGTCATTGTACCAAAAGAAATTGGCAAACACAGAAGAATTTCATGAAACAACATATGAGCAAGAGCCTGGGGTGATGAAGGAAGATGTTTAAGCTGCTCTGAAAGAAGTGGAAAAAACAAGGCCCCAAGAATTGACAAAATAACAATTGACATATTTCAACAAACAGATGCTGCCCTGCATGTGCTTACAAAGTTGTTCCAAGAAATCTGGAGGGCAATTACCTGGCCAACTGACTGAAGAGATCTATATTCGTTCCCATTCCAAAGAAAGGTGACCCAACAGAGTGTGGAAATTATCGAACAATAACATTAATATCACAAGCAAGTAAGATTCTGATGAAGATTATTCAAAAACGACTGGAACAGCACATCAACAAAGAATTGCCTGACATGCAGGCTGGGTTTAGAACAGGTTAGGGATATTATACTAGGAATATTATAGCTAATGTGAGTACTAGGGCTATTATAGCTAATGTTAGATGGATCTTGGCTGAAATCAGGGAGTACCAGAGGAATTTCTATCTGTGTTTCACTGACTATGCAACAAACAGTGGCTGACTCTGAGAAGAATGGGAATCCCAGGAATACTTGACCGTGCTTATGTGAAACCTATACTACTTGGACCTGTAGGTAGTCATCAGAATAGAGCAAAGAAACACTGCATGGTTCAAAACTGTGAAGGGTGTATACCAGGGATGTGTCTACCTTCATACCTTTTCAATCTATATGCAGAAGTGATTATCCAGGAGGCTTGGGTCTATGAGGAGAAATGTAGCATCAGAATTGGAGGAAGACTCATCAACAATCTGCATTATGCAGACAACAAAACCCTGCTTGCTGAAACTGATGAGGACCTGAAGCACTTGCTGCAGAAGGTCAAAGACTACAGCCTTTAATATGAACTGAAGCTCAACATCAAGAAAACAAAAATTCTCACCACTGGGCCCTTTCTCCTCACCTATTCAATGTGTACACCGAGCAAATCATTCAAGAAGCTGGGCTCTCTTAAGAAGAATATGGCATGAGGATATGAGGAAGACTCATCAACAACCAGTGTTATGCAGATGACACAACCTTGCTTGCTGATATGAGGACTTGAAACACTTGCTTGCAGAAGATCAAAGCCTTATGGATTGCATCTCAACATCAAAGAGAAAAATATACCGCTGCACCAACATTGAAATTGTCAATGATTTAATCTTACTTGGATCCACAACCAACAACCTTGGTACCAGCAGTCAGGAGATTTGAAGACATACTGAGTTGGGCAAGTTCACTGCTAGACCTCTATAAAACACTAAGCAGCAGTACTGTCAGTATGAAGATTAAAGTATGCCTGATCCAGGCCATGGTCTTTCAAACACTTGTTATGCCTCTAAGAGGTGGAAAATGGGAAAAGAAAAAA